ACTCACTTGTTCGGATATTGCTCGATCGGATTTGTGTTGGGCAGGTATTATTCGATATGTAATAGTATGGGGTGGGACATGGGTTACTATTATCTCAATTTTCTTTAATATTTATTTGTAGCTCTCATACTTAACTTTTTCTTTTTTTATAATATTTCAACATTTTCACACACAAAAAAAAACAATATTTCAACATAATGAAACTTTGAATAGGTGCAAAACTTGTTTTAATTATTTAGATTCAGTTACTCATTCTATTATCACTATTTTTCATTCACGAAGTGTTGTTCTTTTGTTTTATCGTAAAATAATTAATTTTTTGGGTATATTTTCTTAAAATAACATGTGAAAATGGATCGACTCATCCTACCCAGTACCTATAAGGATATTACCCGGCCTGATTCACGCTTAGTATAGAACAAATATAAATTTTATAAATTAACCAAAATTATCAAATTATTTTAAATTTTTTAAATTTTATTTTTGGTTAATTTGAAAATGATAAATAATAGAAATTAGGAAAATAATTTGATTTTTTTTAATAATTTTTAAACTGACAAGGCAATGACATTGCGTGTTGGCTAATGGTCAATGGTGTTGACCGTCCAAATTGATGGTCAAATCATATGTCACGCCAATTGAGTCTATATGCTGCATAGTTGAGACCAAAATATTAATTTCTGAAATCACGAGCTAAAATTGATTATATGATTATGATTCGGACCAAAATAAGGTATTAAGCCATAATAGTTCACACGAACATTTCACTATGGACCTTAAAATCCTATGAATTTACAATTCAATTTTTTCTTATTGATATTATTTTGTCTTTGTTTTCATATGGACCTTAAAATCCTACGAATTTACAGTTCAATTTTACGATTCCAATTTTACACCCATTTTCAATTTTACGTAAAATCTCAATTTTGACAGCTATGCTTGGACTTATTGTTAATTAGGGCTAACATTAAGCGTGTTAGCACCTATTGATTTCCTAATTTTTACTGAATATGAAAAATTACTAATAATACATTTTCCAACATCATATATATTTTTGGTATTCTAAATCCAAATTGAGAAAAAAAGAGGCTAATTGTGGATCAGGAAATCGATTTGGATCGAGACTTTATCAACATGGAGTCACATTATCATAAATCAAATTATTTTATATTATGATCACAAAGAGGCGATTATGGATTGACACAAATCATAATGGTTTGACAAATAGCTAAACCCTTGGTACCTTTCATTGAATATTGTTTCACTCCCACGTCAACTTCCTTGCTCTCTTTTTGTGGTGTCATAGATCATTCCTCCACCTACGAGCTTTCTAGTTGTGGTTTGTACTAGTTTTAAGTCTACACGAAATGTCATCTTACCAAAAAAGTCTACAAGAAATGCCGTAATGAAACACTTCAATATAAATAGACTTTTGGCATTTTGAGAGTAGGTTGAGGGTAGTATTGTCAAAACCGAATCAGAAATATGAATTGGTATAGTGATTGATTATTGGTTTAACCTGTACCAAATCAATAAAAATTATTTTTGAATATCCAACACTTAATTGCTAGTGATGCAAGGGTGATTGCTAAATTGACAAATTTGTTATATTACCAAGTCCTCTAGCAATGTCACCTAGATATAGGTAGGGCTGCAAATAAGCCAAGCCGCTCGCGAGCCGGCTCGTTAGTAAACGAGTCAAGTTTGAGATAGGTCATGCTCGGCTTGATAAGCTCGTGAGCTAGCTTGACTCGGTGGCTTGTTGAGCGAAGCTCGCGAGCTGTCTTGTTTAAAGCTTGTGGAAGGATTAATTACTCTTCTGAACATGAAAATTATCTTGTTAATAAGGATGTGTATGGAAGTTAGATGTTATTTTTAGTTTCTAGTGTTCTTTTTATCATTTTTAATTTCTAATGTTCTTATTTGTACACATTTTTCAGCAATAATGGTTTCAAATCGAGCTTATCTAGAGCCGAGCTTGTACTCAGCTTGACAAGCTGTTAATGAGCATTTACCGAGCTCTGTCGAGTCAAGCTCGAGCTGAATTATTTTTAATCGAGTCGAGCTCGAGCTGGATGATCAAAATTCGAGTTCGAGCTAAAAAATTTACAAACGAGCGGAGCTCAAGCTAAACAAAAACTCGACTCGGCTCGTTTGCAGCCCTAACGACAGGTAGATGAGGAACCATTTTCATTTTTTTTCTTTTTTTTCTTTTGGAGTTGTTGTGGATTGTTGTTTTTAAGTTGTTTACTTAGATAGAAAAGCAATCATATATATAATTTATTAGAGAAGTATTTATGAAACACATTTATCGTAAATTATATATGAGATTTTATCATCCAAGTACAAAAGATAAACAAGACCGCATAGCTATAATTGAATATTCATTGATGAAATTAGAAAGAAACGCCTCTAAATGAAAAATACATAAGATGATGATAAAACGAATACATAAGGTTGATAATAAAGCAAGAAAGAAAACAAAGTTAAGCAAAATATAGAGGTACAACAATTTACTAAACCCTAATTTTGCACATAAACACAAGATAGTCAAAGATATTATGCATTGTATGTTATTAATAATACAAAAAATATTGTCACAAAAATAATAAATGACATGGACATATAACATATTGTAGGTCCCACCAATAAAAATTGCTAAAGAATTGTATGGATGAAGAGAGCCAAAAAAATTTAAATGGAAGTTGTTAATATACTTTGGAGATCATTTTAGAAATTGCTCAATGAATTTTGGGATGGAAATGATCTTAAGAAGCATTTATCTCTCACAACATTGCAATAAAAAGAAGAAACCCAATCCCTCCCCCCTCTTCCTCTCCTCTATGTTATGTCTCCCATTTCTCTTTCTCTTTCTTCTTCCATTCTTTCATATTTTCCTATTCCTTTTCTTTATGTTCCGTTCAGTGGCGGAGTTAGAAATTTGAATGAGGGGAACTAAAACTTTATATTCAATAGGTTTGAACCAGGGAGGGGGCTAAACCCTTTTACACAATTTTGAGAGTTAGCCCCCTATCTATAACACGACTCTATTGCTGGTTCCTTTCCATTTCTTTTTTCTTTCTATTATTCCATCTTTATTCCATTGGCTCGAACTAGCAACAAGAGTTTCGCCCTCCCGATGATCTTTTTTTCTGACGAGCTTCATTTTTCGGCCTCCCATTACTCTTCTCAGGAAGACCGGCGACCCACTGCTCTCCAGATTTTTGGCCTCCCAGATCTAGATTTTTTTAACAATTTTCTAATTTGTAGGTTTGACAGTCGGACGGTCATCCACTTTGTTCGGTGTGAGAGGTTAACCGTTCGAACCGCCATCCGACCAACCGGTTCTGAGCTGGCGGTTAGACGGTCATTCAAATCGGGTGGAGTATGTCGCCAATTTTACTAATTCTGCCTGGTTTTCGCAAGAATGATTTTTTCTCTACACATTTTTCATATCATATAATAAAGAGCCTGAATAAAGATGTAGGGTCCTCAATTGTTAACCCAATTATTACACCATAAATCACCCAACCTTTATTACAACGACTCTTTCAAAGTTAAAACTAGAAGGAAAACTGCGCCAAACCCAATTCTGGCATGGCAACTACTCTAGAAAACCCGACTCTATAAGGTCAAACATCCAACTTGAGCCGACCCTATTTCCTTTGGCCCTGTCTGGTCTGTATGGGTATGGTCGGGTTGGATCAGTTCAGGCCGATCCAGTGGATCGGCTCACAACAATAAACACACTATTTTTGGAATGTACATGTTGGTACCCAAGCTTATTTTTCTTACAAATTAGTATCTAATTATTTTTTTTACAAAAAAGGTCAAATTTTGGTGGCAATTTAGGTTTTAGTACTTTATTTTTTTTTAATTTAAATTTGTTCTAAAAAACCATCAATCAAACACCATCGTTCGAACTTTATTTGAATAGGTGTGAGCCATATCTTAAAAATTGTTGTAAAAAAAAATCAAAAGTGCATTAATCTCAATTGAAACCAAAATTTTCTCACCGTCAAACACCAAGTAATTCATTCATAGAAAAAATAGTCGATTCATTTGTATACACAAGGACGATGTAATTTTACATTCTCTAGAAATTATAAAATAAATTTATTGCCGATATAGTCTTCGGTGGTTTTCAAAGTAACCCATGAAATCTCTTGTAGGGTTATCGAACCGAATATACAACTACTCCAAAATAACACAAATTTCCTAACAGCCTGTTTGGATTGACAAAAAAGTAAGGAATCCAATTCCATTTCCATATATTATGTTTGGAATAATAAAAAGGTTGAGAATTGAATTCCAATGGGTCTAAAATATGGGAATTACAATTCCTATCAAAAGTGATAGGAATTGAGAGAATGAAGATGGAATTAGTGGGACCCATCAATACTTTTTATTATTTTGTTGACCCACTATCACTTTACTCTCTTTCTCTCTCATTCATATTTCATTTCCCAAAATAAAACAAACATATTACATTATTCATTATGGTTAAAAGTGCAATTCATTTCCATAGTTGTAGGAATTATACCAAACACTAGAATTGGAAATGGAATTCTATAAAAATAAAAAATTGAATTCCATTTCCATTTCCATTTCTTCCGGAATTGTATCCAAACAGGCTGTAAATAATCTAGGGTGTCAAGGGATTCGCTGCGTTTACGAGTTGAGGAGCTTAACCAAATCTCGACTTTCCAGTTCCACTAGCATAATGAATGTGATTAAACGATAATTTTCTTCATTGGATTTCATCTTCTTTAATTTCACTCCAATTAAAAAAAAAGTACACATAAGTATCATATACCAAATGATATTTAGTTTTAATATATAAATCTTACCATAGCAGTCTGGTGTGGTTGTGTCATTTGTTTCGACTTGTTAAAATTGATAGAAGATTTATATTTCAATATAATTCGGTAGAATACAATTAATTTTATTTTTAAATAAATAAATTTAAAATTTAAAATTTAAATAAAACAAATGAAATATAATTATTAAAATTCGATATTGAAGTGATAATTATATGGTTGCGATTAACTTCAACCTCCTCTACCAAAAAAATAAAAAACTTCTCAACCTCATCCTTTAGCCGATATTTGATGGTTTGTCGACGTGAAAAACTTGAATACGTACCGGCTACAATTTCTTGTATGAAGCAAAGAGGCCCACGTTTGTGATTGGGCCAACTAGATGTGTCATTGCGACATCTATCTGTCCACTGGGCTACAGTGAAAGTCTGCTGGTGGGCTTATATATATGAGAATGGATGAGATCAAAACCATAGCTTTTAATTCCTCTTGAGACAAAAGGTTGCTAATTCAGAAGAAGAGGGCGTTCTTAGAAATTGGGGAATGGAGGTTGGAGGTTCTCTTGCTGTTGCCAATGTTCAACGGATGGCTTCGAGTTTGAAGGAGGTACCCAATAGGTATATACGTCCCGAGCTCGAGGTCGACCGAGTTGTTAACGATGAACATGTTTCGATTCCGGTGATCGACATGAGCAAGTTAGTAGATGGTTATGGTGGTGACGAATTGGCTAAACTCCATTCGGCTTGTAGAGATTGGGGATTTTTCCAGGTAACACTCGTAAATTTTTGTCAATTTTTTTTAAATTTATTTATAAGAATTCAGTTTTGGACGATGGGATTTTTAAGGTGGGACTAGTGGGTTGAATTTGATGGGTAGATGGTTTGAGCTATGTTTCTCTTCTGCCTTGTTTATTTTCTTTATTATTTTGATTATTGTGGATTCCATGAATTGTTTCAAAATGGGATTTTGACCTTTTAAGTAAAAGGAAGAATTGATGTGATGTGCAAAAAATTAGGTGATCAACCATGGAATTGCGGAGGAGGTGATTATGAAAATGAAGATAGATGTTCAAGAGTTCTTCGACCAACCACTGGAGGAGAAAATGAAATGTGCACAATTGCCTAATTCTCTCGAAGGATATGGCCAAGCATTTGTTTTATCGGAAGAGCAGAAGCTCGACTGGGGTGACATGCTCTTCATTCTTGCAAAACCCATCAATGGAAGAAATATGAAGTTTTGGCCAAAAGTTCCCTCTTCTTTCAGGTTTGTTCCCCCACATCAATTAGCCAAATGCATGTGTGCATGTCTTTCACTCTTGAAATCCAGTTTCCACTGTTAAGTCGTATCATATATCAGATCGTGATATATTTTATTGGGATTTTTATTAACTTATTTTTATCAAAACTATAACATCAATTCTTATATGGCTTCCTAAACATTGTTTAACCAACCAGACCCAAACGAGTTTGAATCAACCCATTCATCAAGTTCTCGGGGTCGTTTGGATGGATCAATTAAAAAACGAGATAATTTGACCAATTGTTCTCATTTTATAAAACGAGTCAATTCGAATCGTCTACCCCCACCCCATACAATTGTAATTATCTCAAAACGAGTCAATGTGAAATTTCCCAGACAGAATTGTTTCATCTAAATTTTGTGCTACCAAACAGATCAATTTGACCAAATTGACTCGAAATGAAACAATTTGTCAAAATTAATCCGTTAGAATTTCTCATCCAATACTTTTGACTCTGCCCCAGACTACCTGTTTGTCATCTCTTAGCTACCCACTAACCAAAAGTGTCTGTTAATTTGTCACTCTTCTTCCCACCAGGGCAACTGTGGACCAGTATTCAACAGAGCTGGAAAAGTTGACAATTAGCCTGCTGAAATTCATGGCTATGAACTTGGGGCTCGACCCAGAAAAGCTGCTCCCTTTATTCGAAGAAGGTGCTCAAGCTATAAGAATGAACTACTATCCGCCATGTAAGCTAGCCAGCAAGGTCACCGGACTCTCCCCACATTCCGACGCCACTGGATTAACGTTGTTGACTCAAGTGAATCAAGTTCAAGGATTGCAAATCAAGAGAGATGGGGAATGGGTTCCCGTTGATCCCATTCCAGGTGCCTTCATCGTCAATGTCGGCGATATCATCGAGGTACGTACGTAATAACATAAATTGGGTCAATTACGAATAATGATGACACAAAAATTTGAAGTCAAAACTCATCTTAACGATGAAAACGCGGGGAAAAAAATGCATGACGACGACAGATAATGAGCAATGGAGAGTACAAGAGCGTTGAGCACAGAGCGGTGGTGAATCCGAAAAAGGCGAGACTATCAATTGCGACATTCCACAGCCCGAACTTCAACGCCACGATTGGGCCGTTGCCGGACCTTTTCATCGAGGACCGCAAGAAGCAAGCAGTACCAAAGTACAAATCCATATCGCACCAAGAATATATGAAACTTGGGGTGAAAACTAAACTCGATGGCAAAAGTAGAGGCCTCATCCATCACATGAAGTTAGAAACCGAAGAAGAGCAGTGAAGAGCTCCTTAAATCTGCAATGTTCAAACTTTAAGCCATTTCATTGTTGTTGTTATTGTGAATCACCCCATGTAAATAAATAATCAACAAAAAAAATTGCAACTTTCATGAGGAATCACAGGATTGTAGGTTTCTCAACTCTCCTAGCCAGCTCTAGCTTGCTTGGACCATTTAAGACTAGAGAGGGATTGGTTGAGTCTTTTTTTTGTGTGTGTGTGTGTGTGTTTAGTTTTGCTCATGTACTTCAAGATTGTCTTGTTAGTTGGAGGATGTGTAGAGTTTAATGTATGAATCGAATTATATTATTGATAATAACAACTAATTCGGGACTCTTGAGTACTAGTATAATGATAATAATTTTTAGAAATACTAGACAAAAAAAAAAAAATCACTAATACGTAATAGGGCTAATAACACAACAAAGCTCGAACTATCCAAAAAGTGTCATTTCTGTCATAAAGTATTTCATATGATAATCTTGTCATGTTGTTTAATTTGATACTGTTTGTGCTATTTGTATCCCGACATTTTTGTTCAACGTTAAAGATAACGGTTGATTAGACGAGAGTCAGTGAAATGTTGACTTTTGATGACGTGGCAAAAACTTGACTGCCATGTCATTGAGAAATCAAATTGTAATATATCAAATTTGGAAAATAGAGAAAATCAAGACGAAATCCTTTCGAAACGATTCAGCAATTGCACCTTCAATTTGGAGTTCTTATTGTGACTTTTTTTTCCTTAACTAAACACACGTATTTCTTTGATTATTTTACAATTCGTCATATTTTTTCTCCCCTCTTTCATGAACGGAGGATTATAGGTTTAAAGTAAATTAAAGTAAGGTTTTTTTTTCTTCTTCTTAATTGCTTTCGTTGACAAATAAGTAGTGGACTAGTGGCTAATTCATATGAAAGGACCCAATAGAAATTCATACCTAACCTAACATGTATTTTCAAGGTGAAATATCGCCTTCGTTCTTTCTTTCAACTAAGTTATACATTTCTCCAGACAAAGAACAAGTGGTCACGAAGCAGCTCACTCTTTTACTTAATTAAGAGTCGGTTAACTAATCATGCGTTGACCAGACTATAATGACATTATTATTTTACCCGACGGATTCCATGACGCAAGGACGCCACCGTCTCATTAATAGCTTTGTCAGGACAGCTAAGCCCACCTAATAATACTTACTTGGATATAAAGGCTAATAATAACTAGTCTTCCACCTTCCAAAAAAACAAACTGTGGGGAAAATGGAGTTTGGAGGCTCTCTGGCTGTTCCCAACGTTCAGCAACTCGCCTCCAGCTCCAATGACGTCGTGCCCGTCCGGTACATACGCCCCGAACTCGAGCTCGATCGAGTTTCCAACGACGAGTACTCTGGTCGAATCCCAGTCATCGATATAGGAAAGCTCGTCGATGGTGATGAGGAATCGGCTAAGCTCCTTCATTCGGCGTGCAGAGATTGGGGGTTCTTCCAGGTAATATATACCGCTGTATCCGTAGTTTCATCCTTTCTCGTGCAAGAAGAATGTGTTTGATGAATCATGGGTTTTTTATCCCAACTTAAAGCAGGTAATCAACCACGGAGTAGCAGAGGAAGTGATTCTCAACATGAAGGATGACGTTCAAGAGTTTTTCCGCCAGCCGCTGCAGCTGAAAATGGAATGCGCGCAGTTACCAAACGACCTTGAAGGATATGGCCAAGCGTTTGTTGTTTCGGAAGAGCAAAAGCTTGATTGGGGTGACATGCTTTTTATTCTAACACGACCTATTGAAGGAAGAAAGATGAGGTTCTGGCCAAAAGTCCCCTCTTCTTTCAGGTTGGTTTTCCCTTGTATCAGTACTGAATCAATCAAACCAACCTTCACTTGTGTTACTCTTGATTGTTCGACCAACCCCAAGTGCCACTTTCTAGCTTAACGAAAATGCCTCGCCTCAGGGCAACGCTGGACAAGTACTCATCGGAGCTCGAGAAATTGTCGGTCATCCTACTAAGTTCCATGGCCAGGAACCTGGGACTCGACCCTGACGAGCTGCTCTCGTCGTTCAAAGAAGGTTCGCAGAGTATAAGGATGAACTACTATCCACCATGCAAGCAAGCCAGCAAGGTCACCGGGCTCTCCCCACATTCCGACGCCGGTGGACTGACATTGTTGACTCAAGTGAACCAAGTGCAAGGATTGCAAATCAAGAAAGACGGGAAATGGGTCCCCGTTGATCCCATTCCAGGTGCCTTCATCGTCAATATCGGCGACATCATTGAGGTAAAACTGCACAAACTCAAAAACTCAGCTCTCAAATTGGCCACAGAGCAGTCAGAAATATCTATGCCAACTAAACTGGGTCTCTGTTTTCCTTTTTTCGTTATAGATAATGAGCAACGGAGAATACAAGAGCATAGAGCACAGAGCGGTAGTGAACCCGGAAAAGGAGAGGCTGTCAATTGCAGCATTCCACAACACAAACTTCAACGCCATGATTGGACCATTGCCAGCAATCATCAGTAAAGATCAGAAGCAAGCGCCAAACTACAAAACCGTGTCTGCTATCGATTACATCAAGCTCGTTGTCAGCTGTAAACTCGACGGCAAAGGCCTCGTTGATCAGATGAAGATACAAAGAGAAGCAGCACCACAGAATAAAAGCACTTGAAGATTGCAGAGTCCAAAACTATAGACAGTTGAATGTTCCAGATGTTCATTGAGTAAAAATATGTTGGAATATGCAGACAAGGTACCAATATGTTGGAGTAAAAAATAATGAGCTTTGACAAAGAAAGTAATCTGCTAGATTTCACAAAGAAGGGGCATCAGTTCTCCAAGGTGATATAGCATCAATAGAATTCAGACGCAAATTACCCATTTGTTGTATGAGATTCATCCTCTGGCCCGAAGAAACACCACATCAACCATTACATAAAGCAGATTAAAATCAAATTGAGGGACGAAAATTAGAACCGGACGAAGACATTGGAAGGTGGGTATTAGCGATCAGATCCTGTCGAGATACGATATAACATCACACAGTTATATTAGTCAGAGGATTGACAGAACATGACTTAATATCGTCACCTCGCCATTACACCACCTCCATTCCCGCCACAATTCTCAGCAAAAACAGAGAGAAACAGTTGAAAAATTAAAAAATCAAGAGGGTTTGCTCTTAATTCGTTTTGGGCTCAGAACTTCTTAGAGGGTTGTGTTTGCCGTCACCGACTGTAAAAGTCTCTGGCACACTGATTACTTCTTCCTCACAGCTAACCAAAAACTTAAAAACAAATGTAAACCCATAATTCGAAACCAAACTCAACCATGAAGAAGAAGCTAAACACGAGAATAGATCGCTGTTGAAGAAGATGGAATACTGCGAGGTGAAGCGGAGGGCATTGGTAATTTATAGGCAGGAAGCAGCGAAAAACCCTATTTTTTTCTGGGCTCGCGGGCTCGCAATGCTTTGCCGCCAGTCCACTACTACTCTTTCTGGTATGTAAGAGCCCAGGTCCAAGCTCTGCAGTGAGCGGGCCCAAATATAATGAAATTAATATTTTCGTGGTTGATATGATTTAGGCATTTTCGTGACCGACGGGGAGACCAATCTGAAAAAACGAGAACGGTAATGGCGATTCCTCCACCGTCATCATCCAGCGGTGGCAGCGGAATCACAACTTTCCACCCGCCGGCGCCGTCGACGAGCACCAGAGGAGGCACCGCAAAAGCTGCTGTCGCAGAGCAGATCTCTCAGACCGTTCAGTCCACTTTCAATCTCCTCCAGCTGATGCAAGAAACCTCTCCTTCCCAGGCACTTTCTCACTCTCTCCCTAGTTCCTCCCTCTTCCTCCGATCGACTGTCCTCTTTTGTGGTCTTTCGCCGGATAAAATTTTCGCCCTTTTTTTCAATTTCGTTGTACTCGCTTGTCAATTGCTAGAAAGGGATTGATTAGCCTAGTTTTATGGCGATCTGGTGAAGGGTAATTCGAAAGAAGCCATTTTTACAGAAAGTATTGTTTGCACAAGTCAGTCCTAATCTTCTTTTTTTTTTTCTTTCTGCAGGCGCAACTGTCTAAGCTTCCGAAGAACCTTCTGGCAAAAGCCTCCACGATGAAGAACACTGGCCAAGTAAGTACTTTCTTAGGCGTCACCTATGGGTTAATTAGTTGATAAGATGCTCATTGTGGGTGCATTGATTTCGATTATTTTGCAGATTTTGGAGCAGCTGCCGCAGGTGATTTCAACTTTGGATGCCCACATGGAGAATGGGTTGCAAAGGTAGGGTTATTGTGTAGTTTTGTTTGTTGCCAACACAAACTAATTTAGTATTGAATGTCTCTTGAGTTATCTTGTATGGCGTTAGGAACTAATAAGTAGTTGATAAGATGTAGATGGTTTTGTGGAGGGTTTTGCGTGTCGCAAGCTCTCGCAAGAACTATGAGTAGTTGGGATAACTTAGCGTCGAGAAGACGAAACCAACAGTTGCGTTTTGAGACGTTTACCTGTTAGGGATAGCATCTGCAACTATGCATCTGCCAAGCACTATCTAGGGCTTTGAGAACAATGAATGTGTGTACTTGTTTACACTTTACGGTTTATATTGGTATCCTGCTCTCGTTTCATCTTCCTCGTGCGATGACAGGGGTAAAAATCTGGACTTTCCACCCATTCGTTCTGTTTCTTATGCCCTGATAATTGCAGCGCTCCGCATCTGCAAACAGTGTCCCAAATACTTGCTAATATGGAGAGTAGTCAGCTGAGTTCCCTTTCCTCAGCCCGTGTTGCTCAAGAGGTATATACGATACAGCCTCAATTCTTTCACAGCTTGGTATCATACAATTTGGATAGGCATTCGCGTTCACGCTACATAACAAACTTGATGTTTGCATCTTCAGCAACAGGAGTCAGACCATCATGCTCCTTGAGTCTGGTTGAAGGGTCAAATATTGCAGTTGCAAGATGACACGAAACCCTCATAGCGTCATCCTCCTGCTGATCATGGCTGGTAATCCTTGGGAAGCACTGACCGATTTTTGCAGTCTTGCTTCTTCTGTAGATAAACCATAACATTGCACAGCTGCTCTGCAACAGGCACCTTCTCTTTGTGGACGAATCGAACAACGCAATGAAGATCGAAGTACATACATTATACCGTTTTTCTGTATCTTGTGTAGAACTAACTAACTCTCTTTGTATGATTCTTCTCACAAATTTACAATATGATCTGGACAATTCAATCCGAAAAACTTGATGGAGATCGGTTGGAGTGACTAATTCGTTCAAAAGCCAAAAGTTTAGTGACCGTTTATTAGTGATGACGAGTTTTAGTGACTGTTTTATTAACGCAATTGACTCGAATAAATCTCCCAAGTAAAGGTAGCGTTTTTACCAAAAAAAGCATTTGAAGGTCGCGTCTTTTTGGGCAACCGCGAAAAAACGCAGTGTCCGATTCGGAAAGGAAACGTCATTTGCGCGGGCGGGGGCAGGGGAGCAAGCGGGAATTCCACCAATTCGGCGGTGGAGCTACAAAATTGGCAGGGAGCCACTCTGCAGTCAAGTCAAGTCTATAAAGCCAAAGCGGGGACAGCGCCGCCGCCTCCGCCGCCGCTGCACCGCCGAGACTGCTTTCGTTTCAAAACCGTCCGCGAAATTCTCATCCACATATAGCCTCATAACCCCCACGGTAAAGAGAGAGGGGAAACAAAACCGACGAACGAAAAATGGCGTCGCTTACTCTGCGGTCCCCTTCTCAAACCGCGTCGTCTTCCCGGCGGCTGCCTCTCCCCCTCTACCTCCGGCAACGCTCCTCCAACCTGCAGTTCGACGGAGCTCCTTCTCTCTCCCGGCGCATTCGCGCTCAAAACGCCGGCGTAAGCTCTCTCTCTCTCTCCCTCCCTATACGAACGAGCTATTTCACGTCTTCCTAATGTCTATGCCGGAATTTAGTTCTCATTCAATCGCGCTCTCCTGTTGTTGCGCTCTTTATTTCCCGTCGGAAAATCTTAGACTAGGATTGTGGTTGCAGTCAGAAATCTCTATGAATTGCGTGTTCGGTAGAGAGCTGTAAAGGAATTGAACCTCCGATTTTTATATGCATGGAGGCATGTTTTCCTCTTGATGATTGTTTACTGTTCATTGATCAGAACTGTTAGCTCGTGGTGACAGAATGTGAAACATTTGCAACTGCGATGTAATTTTTGTGTGATTGGATTGTTTGGTGATATTTGATTCTTCCAGAAATGTGATGTAACTGAGCCGCTAGATTTAGCGAATGGGAAGCCAACCATACCGGTTATCAACGGGAGGACACTACCGAAGTTCTACGAATCGACTTCGATGCAGAACACGGTTAATAGAACTAGCTCACGGCTGAAGTTGTTCTCCGGCACAGCTAATCCGACTCTTTCTCGAGTAAGGGTTTCTTTTCGGAAAGGTGGCTGCATTCTAAGATGGGAATTCATTTTTCTGAATAATGTGAAAATGGTTCTTTTAAGTGCAGGAAATTGCTAGGTACATGGGGAAGGAACTGAGCAAGATCAACATTAAGCGATTTGCAGATGGCGAAATCTATGTCCAGTTGCAAGAGAGTGTTAGGGGTTGTGATGTATATCTAATCCAGCCAACTTGCCCACCGGCGAATGAGAATCTCATGGAGCTGTTGATCATGATTGATGCTTGTCGAAGAGCGTCGGCCAAGAATATAACTGCTGTGATTCCTTACTTTGGTTATGCCAGAGCTGATAGAAAGGCAAGTTTTTTTTTTATCTCTGGCTCGTGTTAGATAACTGATGGAAGAATTTTCTTATGTGTAGTATCAATGACAATGGTGTGATCTTCTGGTGTGCAGACTCAGGGCCGTGAGTCTATTGGTGCCAAGCTTGTTGCAAATGTTTTGACGAAATCAGGTGCTGATCGTGTTCTTGCCTGTGATCTTCACTCTGGGCAGTCTATGGGTTACTTCGACATTCCTGTGGACCATGTGTATTGCCAGGTAACTTAACTGTTCCTCTTGACTGTCTGTTTTTTGTATACTTGCTAGCTGATCTTGTTTTCCTTCATTATGTAGCCTGTTATTCTAGATTATCTTGCAAGCAAGACTATCAGCTCCAATGACCTAGTTGTAGTTTCACCTGATGTTGGTGGAGTTGCACGTGCACGTGCTTTTGCGAAGAAACTGTCAGATGCCCCTTTAGCTATTGTGGATAAAAGGCGCCATGCTCATAACGTGGCTGAGGTAATTTCTTCCCTGAATCCATGCTGATTCGACACTCCTCTGTATATTTTATTGTTTTCCTCTGATATCCATGACCTCTTAAATCACTCTTCATGTGGTAATTCAGGTGATGAACCTCATTGGTGATGTGAAAGGGAAGGTTGCAGTTATGGTGGACGACATGATTGACACTGCAGGTGAGTTCTTTGATTGTCCATCAAACTTCATTGTTGGCCTACCTATTCCAGATCTGAAGGTGTAAAAAACCTGTTGTTATCTGGTCATTTTATTACTCGACCACGAATGCACGATGACAAGATAGGAATTATTATAATCCTTTACATATTGTTGAAGTTGTCGATTTCAAGTCATCGAGTCTTCTTATTTGCTCATGTTTCGTAACTGTCTTTACCATAGGTTAAACGAACTGATGCCTAGAGACTAAACTTGTTGATTCAATTTGTAGGAACAATTACAAAGGGAGCTGAGCTGCTACACCAAGAAGGGGCTAGGGAAGTGTATGCCTGCTGCACTCATGCTGTATTCAGGTAAACATATCCATATGTTATCAATTCCGTTCCCTTCCTATTTGCTCTGAGTTTTGGCCACGGAATTGACTCTGCGATTAACATAACTTCTTTGTCAAGATATCGTGTTTATTGATCATCTTTGATGACTTGAGTTACACTCTTCATTGCATTGCTTTACAGTCCTCCAGCAATCGAGAGGCTGTCGAGTGGGCTGTTCCAAGAAGTCATTGTGACCAACACACTTCCAGTACCGGAAAAGAACTACTTCCCCCAGCTCACCATTCTCTCCGTCGCAAACCTCTTGGGTGAGACTATCTGGCGCGTTCACGACGATGGCTCTGTCAGTAGCATCTTCCAATAACAAAAATCCTTCTTTTCCCCCCATTTTCTCATTCAACTTAGTGTCGCCTTTTTACTTTTAGACACAGTCAGTTGCTCCTTTGACCCCTTCCCTTGATTTATTTCTCCCCAATTTTCCCTTCGGCCACAAATCTGTTTGTAAGAGCAGTTAAATTGGATCTTTCTTTGTTGAATGTCATAATTACCCATCTAGTTTTGTAGAATGGATGTCATGGTTCTAACCTGATTCAGGAGTTGATCAGACGATTATAGTTTAGCTAACCATTTGGTTTGGGTAATGTTAAATTGTAATCTAACCAATTTTCCCTTAACTGGACAATAACTAATTCAGAAGCTCAAAGAAAAAACTGCTCAGAAACCTCCATGGTTTCATGTTCATGAACACCATGTGTATACACATAAGATTACAACGGGAAGTAAAAGTAATAAAGCAAAAAAGGTTCTTGAATCTGGAAAGGAAATCAGCATATCTATGTACAAACAATTTCGCTCCAAGGCCACTGGCTAGATAGCCTTCTTCTCTCTATAACTCCTGGAACACGCAATATAAACCACCAGATTTGCAAAGCTCAACCCAGCCAACAACCAGAAGAAGTAATCGAGATGCCCCTTGTTCAAGTTATCTGGTATCCACCCTGGCTCCAACCCACCCTTCGTGGTGAAATGCACCACGATAGTCAGGATAAACGAGTTCAGGTAGTTCCCCAATGACGTAGTCAGCAGCGCCAGCGCACTGCACAGGCTCCGCATTGCATCAGGGGACTGCTCGTAGAAGAACTCGAGCTGGCCAATGAAAGTGAACACCTCAGCGGCACCCACCAGCATGAATTGTGGGATCTGCCAGAAGATGCTGAGTGGGACAACTACAGCTTGGTCCACCAGTCCTAGCTCGTCAGCGAGCTGGAGCCGCTTGATCTCCACGAGAGCTGCTGCTGCCATGGCGAGGATCGAGATCAACAGGCCAATCCCCATACGCTGCAGCTCGGAGAAACCCCTTGGGTTTCCAGTGAAACGAGAGGCAAGTGGGACAATGAAGGCGTCATAGACCGGGACCCAGAAGATGACGCTGATGACGTCGAATGTGGATAAGGAGGCAGGAGGGATTTTGATGGAGCCTATCGTGGCGTCCATCAGCATGCCTTGCTCGACAAACATGGTGGACATCTGGGCATAGACTGCGGAAAAGACGATCCCTGTGGCCCAGATGGGGAACATGCGGATCAGTATTTTGAGTTCCTCCACCTGTGTCACCGTGCAGAGCCTCCATGGGTTTAAGAAGTCTGAGCTTTTCATCTCGGCATCTGATACTATGCAAGCTCTATCAAGGCATCTGCAGAACACAAAGTAATATTTTACTGTTACTGCAATTCAAGCTAATAAATCTACTCAACTAAACTAAGTGTCAATAAGTGAGCAAGAATGGTAATTAACTTACTTCAATTCATCAGTGTGCTCCAGCTTACGGCTGCCTTCGACGCTAGAGATTTCATCTTGTGTTTCGTACAAGAGGGTGGAGTCAGAAGGCACTTCTAGATTCCACTTATGAAAAGATGCAACCAAGACCTGGCACATTCTCGTAAGAGGGCTTCCCCCTGGCCGCTGGAACCTATAGAGTGGCGTGCCAGAGAAGAAAGTCGCTATGGCAACTCCCATAAATATGGCGGGCACACCAAACCCTACACCCCACCCAACATTATCTTGAATGTAAACAATCAAACTGCTCGAAATGAGAGCACCGATGTTGATCGAGAAATAGAACCAGTTGAAGAAGGAACCCTTGTTCACCCTCTCTATGGCATCAGTATCATCGAACTGATCAGCCCCAAACGACGAAACACAAGGTTTGATGCCACCTGTCCCGAGTGCGATCAGGTATAGACCAAAGAAGAATACAGCATATTGCGGGGTAGTTGCTGGAGGACAGAGTGAACCCACACAATCGGAAGGCTTCAGAAATGGAACCGATGCTGATAGAGTCAAGGTGCACATTCCCTGATGTCGATTAAAAACATACAGGTCATTTATCAATCTCTCAATCAAAATTTTAGCAGCTGAATCCAAAAGTGAATCAGCATTGATGGAAGCTAGTCAATAGACCAACATCTCAACACTAAATTCACTTCCTTTGACTAAGACCAAAGAACACTTGAGCCGCCAGGGAGTAATCTACAATGAAAATGGAGGTTCTTTAGCGCATGAACACAGGAATTACCGCTCCAAGCTATACAAACGCAATCGCCTTAAAATACCCAAAGTGGCAGTTGACAACAAGCTCCTAAGGTCCAATTTTGAAAACCAAAACAGCCAGCATCCATTGAGGGTTGAGCAACAAGATAACAAGTCATTCATATTAGCGAGGAGATAAGTGTAACAAACGAAAGCAGCAAGTCCCACAAAGACTCACAATGAAGTAAATCGTCGAGAAAGCCGCGATGGTCCAATACCTCCCCCAGTATGCATCTGCCAGTGCAGCCCCAATGAGTGGCGTAATGTAGCAAGTGCCAGACCACGTAGAAACAGTTCTTGCAGCCGATACATTCCCCTCGTGCATATTCGTAGTAAGATAAGTCACGAGATTCTTAGCAATCCCGTAGTAGGCCAACCGTTCACAACACTCCGTCCCTGCAAAATTCTTTCTGTGAGATGACAGAATGAAGCATAGAATAGTACACACACACACACAAAAATCGAATCACGGCTTACCCAAGATGAAAGGACATGCTTTCCAATTTCCTGTGTTCTGCTTGAGAACTGGCCTTCCATTGATGTCAACCGAGCCATCTCCAGTGTGCAATCCACTACGCTCACCCTAGTTAGGATAACGTCAAAATCAAACGCAGTTCTCTTTCCCTTAGACGTATAGACTAATTCCTAAACAATCTGCAGAGATTTGGGCGGTCGAATAACCGGAATCCTTCTGGATCTATGTCGAATTCCGGCTAATTGAATCGCTTCTGGATTTTGGTAAGTACCTGATTGTGGCGTGACGACGGACCGTGTTCGAGAAGCGAGGCCTGCTCCTCCGATGAAGTCATAGAACTCTGCTTCTTCGATTCTTTTCTCCGACGATGAATCCGTCGCCGATTCCAAATGGGCAGAAACGAGAACTACGGCGGAGACTGAGAGAGCGCGAGTGACTATAGCAATATCGGTGGAGGCGGAGACTGAGATGACAGGAATATTCAGATGGCGGGTTAGTGTTGAAAGTCAGTGGCGGCCTGCCGGCCTGGCGGGAGTACAAACAAACAGCTTGCTACATTTTTATTTTATATTAATCAGAGCATCCATATATGCAATCGCAAAATCAATTATATACAATTTTTTTATTGCTATCTCAAGATTTATCCTATCCAACTCAACTTGATTTCATTACACCACAGCAATGCAATTCACTTGCAATTGCATATTAAGGTTTAAATGACTTTATATTAAATAAAAATAAATAAATCAAGAGAGAAAAATAAATTATTGTTTTATTATTTTCCTATGTGGCTTTCATCTTAAATTTCATCTAATGCAAGTTTTCCTCTTTGCAATTGCATATTAAGTGTCATGTAGTATATGCAATTGAAAAAAATACCATTAATGTGGATGCGCTTAGGCGTCGATAGTAATAGCTTTGCACTTTGTGACAATAATAAAATATAATTCTACCAAAAAAATAATCATAAAATAGTTAAATTCTGAAAATAAATTCGACAAATTTAGCCAAATTCCTTTAAAAATTTTAACGCCGTTAGTAATCCCGTTAGTTACGTTAACGTAATACTGATGTGGATGTCATATTGGCTCACATGTCAACTCCAACTAGACACTCAATGCCACCTGAAGGCTAAGTCATATTAACAAAATTACTTCTTATGTTAAATTATTTATCTTTATTTTTATGGTTAATATATTTGTATGGCCTGAACTTTGATCATAATAAACATCCTGGCCAATCTTTTCGATCTATAACATCTTGGCCCAAACTATACATCAAAATAATCAAATTGTCCAAACCCGATGTTTGACCGTTAACTTGGACGGCCAACGTGCCACACCAATGCCAAGTCAGCATAAAATATTTAAAATATTCACAATTTCCACATATTCCACATATTCCCTAATTTTAAATTTTATAAATTAAAAAAAAAATATTTATCTAATACCTTAGTTAAACCAAAAATGAGAACAAATTATCAGATCTCCTCTCCCCAAAATGGTTGCCCGTCAATCTGTTCCTCCTCTCCGTCGTCCTCCTCCTCGCCATCTCCGCCGACCCTTCCTCGTTCAGGAGGGTGGATTCGTCGATCTGCTGCTGGTGGCGGTGTTTGGGATCGGAAAGAAGATCGAGAGATGGCGGAAGAGAGCACATTGTCGGACTTCTTCCCCTGTTCTAAAATCTCTCTTGGAGGGGGTTTGGATTCTGAACGAGAGATGGCGGAAGAGAGCCCATTGTCGGCCTTTCGATTTGGCACCCGTAACCTCCACCGTGATAAAAAAAAATTGTTTTTCGTTTTTGGTTTAACTAAGGTATTAGATAAATATTTTTTAATTTATAATAATTTAAAATTAGAGAATATGTGGAGATTTTGAATATTTTAAATATTTTATGCAGACTTGATAGTGACGTGGCGCATTGACCGTCCAAGTTAACAGTCAAACATTGGGTTTGGCCAATTTCGTTATTTTGATGTGTAGTTTGGGTTAGGATGTTATAGATCGAAAAGATTGGCCAGGATGTTTATAATAATCAAAATTTAGACCATACAAATATATTAACGCTAATTTTTATTAGTATCTTTCTCCATATTTCTATCAATGACCCAAAACCCACCGTCGGCTAGCTCACCAAAACAATCCTCTGATAAATTCCGCTGAAAGCTCTCCTTCCGCCTCACCCAAAAACTCAATAGGATGGATTTACTGAACAACACATAATCCAAAATCCAGACGAATCAAGCCCTCTTGTTGTTGTCGTTGCGGTTGAGATCAGAGGGGTCTTCGAGGGAGCAAGGAGAAGCGTCATACTCACAGTCCCCACTAAAGTTATTGTAATTGACTGGAATTGGTAGTTTGTATTGAATAGGAGAATGGTTTAAATATACCAATCTCTACAACAGAACCAGTACTCACGTAGCTAAAAAGAGGGTAACAACCCATCCACTACTACACTAATTACATTAAATAAATGGAAAGTAATTAAACTAAGAAGATTCCTTATCACGCCCCCGCAAGATGGTGACGGGTACGACACCAATCTTGGACCGAAGAAGTTGAAAACGAGTAATGGGCAGGGGCTTAGTCAGCGAGTCCGCAAGCTGGAAAGCAGTGAGAATATGCTGAATTTGAAGCTGCTGCGTTTGCACAAGATCCCGGACAAACAAGTAGTCAAGAGAAAAATGCTTCATGCGAGAGTGATGGATGGGATTGGCCGAGAAGTTGACAGCACCGAGATTGTCGCAGTAGATAGTTGGAGTAGTAGGAACCGGATGATGGAGCTCTTTAAGAAGATTATGTAACCATAGAAGCTCCGACGTGGCGTGTGCTAGAGCTCGATACTCTGCCTCAGTGCTGGATCGAGCAACAGATCGTTGTTTCTTTGATTTTCAAGAAATAAGAGTGCCGCCGTAGTAGATGAGAAAGGCCATCGTGGAAGTGCGATCATTGGGATCGCCAGCCCAATCGGAATCACCGAACGCCACAAGAGTCGGAGTCGATGTCGAGGCAAGGCGCAGACCGAGATGAGATGTGCCTTTTAAGTTGCGAAACAGACGCTTAACATGTTGCCAATGCAGCTGCGTAGGAGCGTGCATGAATTGAGAGAGCTTGTTGACCGCGAAGGCGATATCTGGGCGGGTGCATAGGAGATAATGCAATGAACCAACAGTATGTTTATATAGAGTCACATCAGCAGGAGGTGAGCCATCAACGAACAAGAGCTTGGCGGTGGAGGACAGAGGAGTTGGGGCAGGATGCGATTCAGCCTGCCAAACCGGGTAAGGACGCCAGTCACATACTTTTGTTGAGAGAGGAGGTACCCGGTAGACGTCGGAAGAACTTCAATACCAAGAAAATAGTGGACAGGCCCGAGGGTCTTTAGGGAAAAACGAGCAGCCAAACGAGCCTGGAAATGCGCGAGAGCAGGTGCATCATTGCCAGTAAGTAGAAGATATAGTATGACGGAGCCCTTGTAATAAATGAACAAGGAGGCATCTGATTTTGACTTGACAAATCCTTCTTCTGTAAGAAACCCGGAGAGTGCGAGATACCAAGAATGAGGCGCCTGTCGAAGGCCATAGATAGGCCGGGACAAACAACAAACATGGTTTGGATGCTCCGGATCACGGAAGCCGGGGGGTTGGGTCATATAAATTGTCTCTTGCAAAGAGACTTGGAGGAAGGCATTGTTGACGTCGAACTGCAAAATCGGCCAGTGATGAGATAGAGCAATAGAGAAGATGGTGCGAATGGTGACGGGCTTGAGAACCGGGTTGTAAGTATCATGAAAGTCTATGCCCGGCCGTTGAGAAAACCCCTTAGCCACCAACCGGGCTTTAAAACATTCAATAGAACCATCGGGGTGACGTTTGATACGAAAAATCCACCTGCAGCCAACAATATTAAAACCAAGAGGACGGGGAACAAGAGTCCATGAGTGATTAGCTAGCATAGCTTGTATTTCGGCCCTCATTGCCGCATTCCACCTTGGGTCAACAAGAGCTTGCTTGACCGAGGTAGGCTCAATGTCCAGAGTAACAGCCTGTGAGTGAAATAGTTTCTTGGGTCGAAAAATACCGTGCTGGCTGTGAGTGACGGGCCGATGGCCAGGCTTAACCGGTGGTGGAGGTAGTTGATTCTATTGGGAGGAGGAAGCACTGGGGAGCACAGCCGCTGGGGAGGAGAGGTGATGTGGAGACGCGGACGTGCTGGGTAGGGGAGGGATGGGTTGTACAGAAGAATGAGAAGGGTGGGAAGGGGAGAGGTAATAAATAGTGACAGGGGGAGTAGTAGTGGCAACCCAGGTCGGTGGATCATAGGAAGGATCCGATGGGATAGGCCAGGAAAAACAGTCTCGTCAAACTTGACGTGGCGAGACGTGTTGATGCGATGGGTAATGGGATCGTAACAATGATATGCGCTTTGAGTGACGGAGTAACCCAAGAAGATGCAGCGGCGGGAGCGAGGTTCTAATTTGTGGGCAGTATGCAAAAGGGCCAGACCGGTTTCAACTATGTGTCTATGTTTGTGTTCGGCGAGGCCATTGTGTTGAGGGGTATGTGGAGGAGTTAATAGGTGAGTAATGCCATGTGTTTGGAGGAAAGAACATAGTTTCTGAAATTCACCACCACCATCACTATAAATACTTCGAGTCGAGGTATGAAAGTAATTTTCAATCATTGTTTTGTAAGTCGTGAAAACATGATGAACATCAGATTTACGGCGAAGAGGATAAAGCAAGGTGTATCGAGAAAAATGATCAACAATGACTAGATAATAGGTGTAATTGTCATGAGAAAGAATAAGAGAAGGCCCCCAAACATCCATATATAACAAATCAAATGGACGAGAACTAGTGAGACTCGAAACTGAGAAAGGCAGTTTTCGGCTTTATGAAGAGAACAAGAGTCACACAAAGAAGAACATGTAGGAGAAATAACTGGAAGAGACTGATTCCGCAGTACTCGAGAAAGGAGCTTGGCATGGGGATGTCCCAACCGGTTGTGCCAAACCGTAGAAGAGAGCTGGGTAGTAGCGGTTAAGGCAAGACAAACAGGAGGGGAATCCGCGGGCAGCTCATAAGCATCACCTCTATTCTGGCCTCGTAGCAGGTGCGCCCCCGTGGCTAGATCTTTCACAACAAAAAAATCATAAAAGAATTCCAACTCTCCACTCTTTGAGTCCTCAGGCCACTCAAATTCCCACAAGTTTAATCTAAAATCAAGACCGAATTGGGACCGGACCCGGTCAAGACCGGACCGTATCCAATCCAAACTTTGGTCCTTATATTTCCAAAAAGACCGGATTGAGACCGAATCATTTATGACCAATTTAACCGGACCGGACCGGACCGTTTAGCCACCTCTGTGAACCATACTTACCATCCAATCTTGAGCAATCTTAATTGGGATCCGTAATACAAATTAGAATATAATAATTAATAAAGAAAACCTCACTGATTTTGTACCGTTTGTCGTGGCTATCTATGTCGGCTAATTACTGGATCCCATTGTATGTTGCCAAAATCTGAGCCAATTACTCCATTTCAAAACAATTAAATCAAAAAAATTTCATCCCATTCCATCACTAAAATTGCCCCTCACCTTTCCAAGTTCCAATCATGACATGACAAAAAATACATTCCAAATAACATCTAAAACGAATGGTTCTATACTTCCATATGTAAACTAATCAATCCCGCCAGCTAATTCAATCCCACCACAAATATCTCTCTTCCTCCAAACTTTCTTATATATTCATCCAAACAACAACAACAATGCAGGTCCCGGCGGTTGAGCTGACGACGATTTCTTCTTCCTCTTTATCATCGGCAGCCAAGATGAAGATGCCGTCGATCGGGATGGGGACGGCGTGCGCCAGCTCCCCGGTGCCGCCGCCGACGGAGGTCATCGTGGCCGCGTTGCTGGACGCCGTGGAGGCCGGGTACCGCCACTTCGACACGGCGGCGGTGTACAGAACGGAGGAGGAGGTGGGGAGAGCGGTGGCGGAGGCCGTGGAGAAGGGGCTCGTCGGGAGCCGCGACGAGTTCTTCATCACGTCCAAGGTCTGGTGTGCTGATTTGCATGTCGATTCCGTCGTCCCAGCACTCACCAACACTCTCCGGTACGCTCCAAAATAAAGAAAGTATCAGATGACGGACTATAGTTGAACCACGATTTTAGTACAAAAAATATTACCTTAATGGTTTTTTCGATATAATCTCTCCTACGATTTCATAATATTTGGAATTTTTTTTTCTATCGCCATAAGACAGTAGTGGTATGAGATCAATAATTAAACTTGTTCCAATAATACGCGAGTCATTGAGACCAACCGATTTTTGACATGGTATCAGAGTTTGGTTTGGGTGCAAGTGGACATTTGTTCAAATATTCACGACCTGCAATATTAATCTTTGATTCACGCAAAAAGTATGATAGATATATTCTAACTTTAAGTCTGCGAATTGACTTTCGCTAGAACCGATGTCAAAATTTATAAAGGAGCATAATTGATAAAAATGTATAGTAAAAGGGCAAAAATATGCATATAACCCGTTAATTAATTAATTAGTTGAGCAATTAGGTCAATAATCGTTAGAATCTAAGAAAGATTAATATGTCGTTGTAAAGCACCTCTCACTACGTACCAATTGACAATTGTCAGTGACTGTTTCTTATTTGATTATTCGTTGGCTTGTAGGACTGCAACCATTAACGAGCGGAAATTATGCTTAAATTAGTTGTAGGCCGATGGTAATTCGTCGATGTTGACTTTGATGATTATTATATTAGGAGGCTGGGAATGGAGTACGTGGACCTGTATTTGATCCACTGGCCAGTCAGCATGAAAAAGAGCCCACTGGGGTTTGCCAAAGAAGACATTGTCGAGTTCGACATGAGAGGGACGTGGGCCGCAATGGAAGACTGCTTCAGGCTTGGGCTCTGCAAATCCATTGGCGTCAGCAACTACGGCCCAGCCAAACTCCACCAATTGCTTCAACATGCAACCATTCCTCCTGCCGTCAATCAGGTCGGTCTTTTCCCCCCTTGTCGCCATAGATATCCTTGCGGATAGACCAGTCATGGATTAAAGATTGCAATTATTGTTTGCGACACACACAACCAATTAGCACTAGGGGTGTGGGCTCGGTTTTTCGGGTTTACCAAAAACCGACCCAATTATATACATTTTCGGTTTTCGGGTTCGGGTCCATTTCGGGTTTAGGGTTTTCCAGTTTCGGGTTCGGTTTTGCTTATCGGTTTTTCGGATTCCGGATAAAAATCTCCAATGAATAGAACTCAGCCCGTATTTTAAGTGTTGGGGTTTTCGGGTTTCGGTTTTGCTTTAACCGAACCCGAACCCGATAAGGAATTTTACCCGAAACCCGCAAGTCCTTATCGGGATCGGGTTCGGTTTTGGTGATTTTCGGTTTTCGGGTTTTCGAGTTTTTTCGGGTTTCGGTTTGGGTAACCGAACCCGACCCGAACCGACACCCCTAATTAGCACAAACAAAGACTTATTAGTCTCAACTCTGGCAGGTGGAAATGAACACAGGATGGCAGCAGAAGGAATTGGTGAAGCTATGCAGAGAGAAAGGAATTCAGGTGTGCGCGTGGTCGCCATTGGGAGGAAACGGCGCCTCTTGGGGATCTTTCTCAGTCATGCACAGCCCCGTCCTCAAGGAAATCGCCGACGCCAAAGGCAAGTCCGTCGCTCAGGTTAATTATAATTTGCACTCAGCCTACAATTTAATCAATAATCACTATGATTAACTTAACATTCAACTACTAAGATAATCATGCTTTGGAAACAGGTAGCGCTGAGGTGGATATACGAGCAAGGCGCGATCCCGATAGTGAAGAGCTTCAACAAGGATAGGATGAGGCAAAACCTGGACATTTTCGACTGGGAACTAACCCAAGACGAGGTCTCCAGAATCGAGCAGCGCATCCCACAGCAGCGTGGCTTCTCTGGCGAGATGTTCGTCTCCGAGACTGGGCCTTACAAGTCTGTCGACGAGCTTTGGGATCAACCTTTTAATCTCTCGTCGTAATGAAAGGACGATGATTAACAGTCCACCCATCTCGGGATTGGAATGTCAGCGACAGACATCAGGTATCAGAAGAATCTAAACGGGCTACTTGGCCTGTGAGTAGCTGCTCTCTTCTACCAGGGATTATGAGATTCCTGCAGAAGAAAGTCAACAATTTAAGTGAACTAACAGAGAAGGGTTCGTCTTTATGATCACTTCCTTTCAACAAATTTAGAATGCCTAAGCACATTGTTGGATTGTTATATTTGCAAAATGAGATGTCTGATAATCTATCAGCTAGTAACCGGAAATCAAGAAATCACTGGGCAGCATTATTGTCAAAGATTATTGCTCTGCGAATATGAAGCGTTATCTACAGCCTCTACTAATTCCAAGAGAGGTTTTAAGAACAGGAAACGTAAAAATACACCTATCAAGTTACCTTGTGAATCATTAGGATATGCAGTGGCAGGTGATTCTTGCAGCCATCAACCCTGGTAAAGATAAACAGTAGCAAACCATGTGTGAAGTTCATCTTTATAGTACATAATAATAATGTAAAGAAGATTACTGATTATGTACAAGCCAGAAGCCTAAAGGTATAGCAAATACCATCATACTCCTTTGTTTCTCACAGCCATGCCAGCTTGATCTTAGGTGGCTTTAATCCAATCAAGTGGAGAAAACGTTTAGTTCCATGAACCAAAATCAACTGACTGAAGTGATATTCGACCAAGATACAAATCCTGCAAGTGTTGCTTACACAGCCCAATTCGCCTTTTGTTTAAACTGGGATGAATACAAGTTGAAAACCCCGTCTTCCATCCAGGAAACTTCTGCCTCTCCATCACATGTAGAGTATAAACAGATGGTGCTGCAGCTGAGCACCCTATAACAAAGCAGTCACATGGCCTTTGCTCGCTCACCATTCTTGCTAATGATAACAAACATGAGCCACTATATGAAACTCCATATGTCATGGCTCCAGCATCATCATCACACAATTTTTTCACTTCCGATGAATCAAACCCTATATCTTCATCTAGGTCATCCACAGATGACGAGATCTTACTCAGTTCAACGTCAAATCGTTTCTCAATGTCATCCTCATGGATTCGATACTTTGCAGCTAGAGTACGGATGCAAGATTTCCTCAGCTGATATCGAACCATGGCTTCAACTTCAGATAAGTTATCACAGTAGCTGTACCACCTAAGCCAACGGCTGACTATGCCATGGAACCAATCAATGATTTGGATGTCATCCTGTAACATCAGTAAGCGTGCTGCACAAGGGTGTCCTCTATAAGTGGCTAATCCATATCGGAACAAACGTTTTTGAATGGCATAAACAGGTGCAATGATCTTTGTAACCGTTTCAGCAGGGGAGTGATTAGAACTTGGCAGAAGGGCAAGTGTTGTAGATGTCTCGGAATGAACATATCTTTCTGCACACTTCTTGAATTCCAAGTAGGAATCTCTGAGCTCATTTGGGAGGGCAGGTTCCACAATGCCAGAAAAGATGAGCTGCTCGCTTCTTACAACTTTAGTATTAAGGTTTTGTACCCATATCTTGACCAGAAGCTTGTACCAATGATCAGTTTCCATCCCGGGTTTTCGAAAGGAAGAAATTTGGTTTAAGAGAGACTCCGGGTCAGATAAATGCTTAATCTCTGACTCTTTGACCTTTCTCAAACCATGACCTAACCATTTTCTTCCTATTCTAACTACGCCTCTATCCCATGCCTCCTGTTTCTGCGATGTAAATAACTTCACTTTCTCCTTTAACTTGTGAACAGCCTTTACAGCAGAGGTCTCCTTAATCTCTCTCCTAACCAATGTACCTAGAAACCGAATGCCTTGACGTCCGGTACTAGATGATATTTCTGCATCACTACTAGCATCTAAGTGCAAACAGTTATTCAAGAAATCTATAACCTCAGATTTGAAACCAAGAGCAACATCTTTGGGTCCTGAAACTGCAAAAAGTAATTCATCCATGAATCGACAACAAAAAATTCTTGGACCAGGCTCCTTCTCATTCATATTATCACTACACTTCATCTGCCTCTTAAACCAAGTCCGCAGATTAGAATGTGATACTTCTTCACCTAATGGACCGCCTGGACAGAGAGCTTCATATTTCAACGACAGCCTGTAAAATTCTCGATCAAAGAGATCAAGATATATGTTCATCAATATAGGAGACAACACACCTTCTTGCGGGAGACCATGCCCTTTAGGGAAACCACCAAACTCTAGATTTAGCACCTCAGCCTCAAACATTCTCTGAATCACATCGAGCAAGCAGGTATCTTTAATTTTTTCCTCCATGGCTGATCTAAGGTTAGCAAAAACACAAGCATCTAACTTCTTATTTAAGATCACTGAAAACAACCAATCTGGATTCCTGAACTCTTTCCTGATGTACTTTAAAGCAGTAGAATGGCTTCTCCCACTTCTACAACCATGTGATATCTTAGAGAAATGAGGCCTGTAGATAACTTCCAACACCAACCTGATAGCCTCCTGAACCACTGATAACTTCAGGTTAGGTAAGACAAGTAATTCTTTCACCTTCCCCCTTGTTGAGATGGAAAACGTATTCTCCTTAATACTAAAAGTCCCACTTGAGAGCTCATCGGCCAAGGATTGAAACGAGATGGTATGATCGTCTGATGAGATATCGACATTGGAGTTGAGCCTGATGCAATTGTAAGCATCCTCAAGAGTTTCTGGGTTTGCAATGACATTCATCATCAAATTTTCAAACTTCCCATCAACGTAATGCTCTTTCACTCTCTTCTTCACTCGGAGTTCAAGGTATCTCTTCAACTTTACCCGACTTTCTGGTGCCTTTTCGTCATCAGGATTGGGAGTTTCCTCAACAAGGTTGGCCAAATCAGTAGCCAATGTCATGATAGTCAAGCCCTTAGGAACACTACCAGGTGCAGCTGAAAGAGACGAGCAACCCGTGAAACCTCGTAATCTTTCCGTGGATCCTACTGCAGCAGAAGGCAAGAACCGAATATTATAGCTCAATACCATCAGTTGTTCAAGGAATTGCACACCTAGTCGGAACATAAAGCTATCTCGTCACGAATCGCAAATTCAGGTCAAATAGGTTTAATGAAACTCACCTGTACAGTCCAGCAACGGACTGGCTCGGCTGGAGTTGATGCTTTGAGGCAGAAAGCGTCGGAAGGAGTTGCGCCTGCACACTCTTGGTAGCCAGCTGAGAATCGCCATTTTAGCGGAGCTCGAAACAAAACGCCGGCATCAACCTCACCCAGAAGCTCCGAACCACTAAAGCGAGCATGAGGGAGGAAAAAGACGAGTGGACAGAGGAAAACGATGGTCATTGTCACTGCCGCATTTCATCGAACGGGTTGCCTACAATTCGTTGAAGTGCGAAGAATCTATTCCTTTTTGCCGCGGAACTGAGAGCGGGTTCCTACCTAGTAGTGTTGACGTGGCATAATGCACAAAAATGTTAAGGATTATAAAGGCGGAATTCTGCCAAAAGCCCAAAGGCCAAAAGCCCAAAACAAAAAGGTCAGATTATTACACTAGTCATCAATCATTGAACTTATTTGCTTACTTCAGTTTGGTCATCCGAAAACAAAAGTAAGAAGGCAATAGCACACTAAAATTGAGAAAAATAAGAGAAAATTTGTTATTCAAGCCTAAATAAGTAAACTTGGAGTTTTAAAAAATCTGCAAATATCGATCTTTCAATTTTTGTCAATACCATCTTTCAAAACGTACTCTTAAAAAAAGAGTTGTGGTAATAATTCGATATGATGATTCCCGACCCAAAATATAGTTACTATCCAGACATTAGTATAGTGCTTGTTGGTCAACAATCTAGTTGTATGTGTTTTTTCTAGGGAATTAATATTGTCATGAGTATAGAGAGATTAGGGCCGATCCTAAGGGTGTGTTGGCAGGACAGAAGGACGTTGATCAAGTTTTTCCATGACTAGTCCCAGGTTCGGTTACAGACCTTAGAGAGGGCTAAGGATCTATACCAAGCTCGTTACGCCATAATTCATTGAGATTGATCCTGAAGTTACTGTCTATCCCATAGCAATAGTATCTATTTATTCACCCAAAGAACGAACTATCCTTTGTTTCATGCCCTCCAGCCCAGGGCCTCCAAATTATGGGGCCTCCAAACCTCCATCATGATATGAACTATTATTATTATTACGGACTATTGGGTTTCGATTATGAACTTAAAATTGTGGAAATTTTTTGAATTGAATTTTGATTAGAAGTTCTAATTAGACTTTTTCAAACCATATGGCAGAACTCATTCTTTCTCGTATGTTTCCTAAATATAATAAAAGAGGTAAGATTGTTGATACCTCATTATTAGCATTATTAAATTTGTTGCTTTCCAATGGGAAAAATAATTAAATTTTGTTAATTAATCTGCTTGTACTAGCAAGGAAGTAATGCTAAATTAATTAAATAATTTGTTTTGTCAGTGTTTGGTATTATACCGAACAACGTACTGAATTTGGTATTACTGAATGCACGTATTATTTCATGGTATTGAATCTCAAGTGTTATTTGGTATTGGGGACTATGAAATTGGGATCGGTATATACCGAAATAACGATCAATACCGAAATATAAGCTTGTGTGTATTTTGATCCCTCTCAACTAGGATCCCTCATTCACTGCTGCCAGACCCCTAACTGCCAAGATAGTCACTTATATACATAACTCATTTCCTCACTATTTGACAATCCATACCAAACTCATTTCGTTATTTGTAGTATGTTTATGAGTTGCTTAGTCGTTCCATGTTTCACTTTGTTGCATTAGTTTGTTAGTAATATTCTAGGCACCAGTAGAGGTGGCAAATGGATTGGATCTATGCATGGTAGATTTGATTGGTAGATCCATGGATCGAATGAATTGGTGGATTGATCCATGGATCCAAATGACATCCTAGTCTTGGACCAATATGTAAATTTTGAAAATTTTAGGTACTAAAATGTCGTATTAAAAATTATAGGTACCAAAATATTATTTTCCAATAATATTTTTCATATAAAACTTGTAATTAAAAAAATATAAAAATAAAAATATAGGTACTAACTATAATTTGTCAATGATCCCTGAATTCAATCCATGAATCCACAATCCAATTAGATTTGAATCTGTCATGTGCATATATTTAATTAGTATTATTAATTAATTATGGGTTGTTAAGGGTGGGGTAATGACGTGAAGTAGTGGGTAAATAGTGGGTTAGTTGTTAGCTAGAATTAAGGAAGGAATAATTAGTGTTAGGTCTTTTACGTTGGATTAGAGGGGATTGGGTTTACTTGTGTATTTAAGGTAGCAGATAGATAGAATTAGAGAATCAATCAAGTATAATCAGAAAAGGGTTTTACACACCTACGTGTTAATTTGGGAGGTTGGCTTTCCTCGAAAAAGCTTAGGGGTTCCGTTCTCGCCATTAAAGAGAACACTTATCTTCTTCTCAATCTATCTATCTTTCCTCTATTCTTCTTCTTCATATCCCGATCTTTCACCCTAAATTATATTCTCCGAAACGTGCACGTAACATTTGGTATCAGAGCCGGCCGATCCTACAACAATGACTGTTTGTGAAAAACCATTTGATTCATTGCTGGAGGAGATGGCGCAAGAGACCGCAAGGACAAGGCAGGAGATGCGTGAGAGTTTTGCGGCCCTAATAGCAAGGTTTGATCGATTTCTCGAACGGCGGGAGATGGCTGCAGATCCTCATTTGGAAATCGGTAAATCTACAACAAACGTGGAAAGGCTTAGAGAAGTGGCAGCTTCCGAGAACAGGATTTCAAAGAACAATATCAATGGTCATTCAGCTGTGGATCGATTTTGGTCTCGGGCAAGTCGAGAAGAGGGACAACAAGAATACGCAACTGCTAACACAAGAGTTGCTGACGAACCCGTTGTTCAAAAAATCAACAAGGCAGAGGGACAAAAAGCAATTGGAAAGCTCGTCAATGGTGCCACTGCCAACGGGTTAGGAACCGACAACCCAATGAAGCCCAAAATCACTTGCCCTCAAGTTCTCAAGGAAGAGGTCGATGTTGGCGTTGAAACACAAAAGCTGCTCGAACCAACTGCTCTTCATCAACATAGCAAGAAAAGAGAGGTCAAGTCCTTCAAGAAGCCACTGGTACGACCAATGCAAATAGCCGCCTTGAACTTCGCTTCAAAGAAGCATAGCATGGCCTGGGACAAGAATGCAAATTCACATGTGTGGCTTAATCTCCCCACTATCCCTCTACGTTCAGTGAGATGCAGGAAATGTTTAAGATTCTTGTTTGAGCCAAAAGAGACTAATTATCTGATGGGGAATCATTTGTGGTGGAAACCACAGTTTGTCAAAGGCGGTGGCCTAGCATTGCGGTTATGGTTGCTCACGAGTTATGGAGACCCGGATTGAAGAAGACGAATTTCATGGCTGATTCTTGTGGTCAAGAATCGTTTCAAGGGGGATGGAATGTCATGTGCATATATTTAATTAGTATTATTAATTAATTATGGGTTGTTAAGGGTGGGTTAATGACGTGAAGTAGTGGGTAAATAGTGGGTTAGTTGTTACCTAGAATTAAGGAAGGAATAATTAGTGTTAGGTCTTTTACGCTGGATTAGAGGGGATTGGGTTTACTTGTGTATTTAAGGTAGCAGATAGATAGAATTAGAGAATCAATCAAGTATAATCAGAAAAGGGTTTTACACACCTACGTGTTAATTTGGGAGGTTGGCTTTCCTCGAAAAAGCTTAGGGGTTCCGTTCTCGCCATTAAAGAGAACACTTATCTTCTTCTCAATCTATCTATCTTTCCTCTGTTCTTCTTCTTCATATCCCGATCTTTCACCCTAAATTCTATTCTCCGAAACGTGCACGTAACAGAATCAAATGGATTGGATTTAAATATATTGAATTAGTTGGATATTTTAGTGGATGGATTGGATTATAACTTGCCACCTCTAGACACCAGTGTTGTTATTATACTTGAGATTTTTTTTACCATTTGCTTTGCACGAGTGTTGACACCATTGTTTGTTTTTATATATTTTTGAGAATGGTTATATGGAGTTGCTGACATAGGAGAAGTATTTGTGTTTGTATATCCGATTTTTAATTTTGAAGAAAATTAATTTTGTATTGGATATATACCGTCCGAAGTAAAAAATAAATGATTGAGATAGGAATACCTAAATTATTTTCGGCATGTAATTGAGTTTAAATCACTATTTAGCATTCAGAGATTTTTACATTTGCTATTGAAATACCAATACCGTACAAATTTCCACTCATCGTACTAAAAAAACAAACTATGACCGGGTTGGCAATTTGACGGCTGCGCAGCGCGCGTGGGCGAAGAAATCGGAGCGGAACTCCCAAAACTCCCTCGTCTCTGTCACCCCGTCTTTCTTGTTTTAGGTCCACAAAATACGAACAACAACAGAGCGCAGCCGCTGGCAAGCAAGAGCCAACGCTTCGACAGTTCCGCCACCGCCAACTGTCCATCCTCCACCATCAATACCTCCTCCCTCTCCTCTCCTTATAAAGCGCTCTAAGCTGCCGCAGTCATACAAACCAAAAGAAACAGAGAGTTCCTGATTGACAAAATGGCGGCAATCAACAACCAGATGATCTCCAGTAGAACCTCCGCCGACGCCTCCGGCCTCTTCTCCTCTTCCAGAAGCTTCTCCGGCGGCGACCGCTCCGCCGCCTTCCTCTACGTCGCCAAACCTGCGAGGAGATCCGTACCTTCTGGCTTCAAGCTAAGATCGATGAAGCTCTCGGAGCCGTCTGTTCCCTTGCCCGACATTCCCATCTCGCCCAACGGTCCCGTACCTGCTGTGAGTTTCTCTGTCTTCTTCACACATTGTATCGAACTGTTTTGAATACGGGTTGCCTAATCATTTTGATTAGGAGAATCGCAGATCCCCTAATATTTTTGATTAGGAGCATTTGGCGTAGAATTGGGGAAATGCGGGAAATGTGCTTATTGATAATTAATCAGTTTCTGTTTCTGCTTAGCTTTTTAATTATCTTCGTGGGATGTTGGCATGTGAACGAGAGGGAATATTCCGATCCACCTTTTTGTAATCAGTTGCAGTAGTGTTTATGGATTTTGAATTTGATTCTCTGTTGTGTCATTTAGGAAAAGTCTTATGGGATCAGGGTCTAATTGTTTGTAATAATTTTGTTTCAGGAGAATCTAAATTCTGCTCCTGACAGCCTAGCAGTGAATCATATCTTGGGCTATGACAAGACGAGGCCAATTGCTCTGCGGAAGACGAAGATAGTCTGCACGATTGGTCCATCGACGAGCTCTCGAGAAATGATATGGAAGCTGGCAGAAACTGGGATGAACGTGGCTCGTTTGAATATGTCGCATGGAGACCATGCCTCGCATCAGAAGACGATTGATCTGGTTAAAGAGTATAATGCGCAGTTTGAGGACAAAGTTATTGCGATCATGCTCGACACTAAGGTACTGCATTGCATTTTGCTGGTGTGAACAAGTCCCTTATGAATTTGGTCTATATTCTACATGCTGAAGAATTTTGGGATTTTGGTCTCGATGTAGGGTCCTGAGGTTAGAAGTGGAGATTTGCCTCAACCGATCAATCTCGAGGAGGGTCAGGAATTTAATTTCACAATCAAAAGAGGTGTTGCAACTGAGGACACAGTGAGTGTGAATTATGACGACTTTGTGAATGACGTGGAGGTTGGAGATACTCTACTTGTGGATGGTAAGTACTGAGCTTCCATATCGGCCCTTGACTCATATTTATGTTCAGATGTGCTCTGAAGGAGCTGCATTGTTCATTTTGGCGTGGTGGCAGAATTTAGGGGAAGAATGTAGCTTGTTTTAATGAACTTGATCAGTGTCCTGTTTGAATGAATTTTTTTATTTATATACTGCTTACTTTGCTAGGTGGAATGATGTCGTTAGTTGTGACGTCAAAGTCGAAGGAGTTGGTTAAATGTGAAGTAGTTGATGGTGGGGAACTAAAATCACGACGGCATTTGAATGTGCGTGGTAAAAGTGCAACTCTTCCTTCAATTACAGGTAATTGTTCGTTCTTATCCTTTAATACTACATTTCTTTTGATTCTGGAGCTGTAAATGTACACTCGTCAGTGTGCTTCTTTTCCTTTGTAACCATTCTAATGAAACTAATGCTGTCCACTGTGAATGTAAATTTTGAGCAGACAAAGACTGGGAAGATATAAAATTTGGAGTGGACAACCAAGTAGATTTTTATGCTGTCTCATTTGTTAAGGATGCTAAAGTGATCCATGAATTGAAAGATTATCTCAAGAGTGAGCAGATCTGTCCCTTTCTCACTATAATTGGTCTACACATTGTGTTCCATTGTTTCTTCTCATCTAATTTATTACTGGTCAAACCCTTGTGTAGGCAACAATGCAGACATCCATGTGATCCCAAAGATAGAAAGTGCTGATTCTATTCCAAACCTTCATTCAATTCTTTCTGCTTCTGACGGGGTTAGTTTTCATTATTCTCATGACTGGCAGTTTTAATTAAAATTTTCTTACTCTTAACATATTAGGGACTTTTACCAATGAGGTTTGGTTTCTAAATACATGTGAACCTGCTACTTAATGTTTCCCCCGTTATTCTATGCAGGCTATGGTTGCTCGTGGAGACCTCGGTGCAGAACTTCCCATTGAGGAAGTTCCTCTGTTGCAGGTAATATGTCGGACAGGGCTTCGAAAAAGCAACTAGAAAATTGTACTGGTCATATTCATGATGGAACTTCACTAGAGGAATGCATACTAGAGGAATGCATATAAGTTCCTCTGTTGCTATGGAGGTATCTAGTACTGACTAGTGAGAACTAAGCACAGATGATACGAGATGGCAGATGGGTGACTGATTCCATGGCTGACACAATTCATTTTACCTCTAATTTAGACCCTAAAAGAAGTCGGATGTTTTTCTGTAGTCTTTTTCTTCTTCTTCAAATATGAGCGTCCAACTAAATGTCTAATGATGGTCTGTGGCCGTTTTTGCCAATGACTTACTTGATTCGAATTCCTTGTTTCTACTTCCTCTCTTTTGTTTACAGGAAGATATCATTAGAAGGTGTCACAGCATGCAGAAACCAGTTATTGTGGCAACAAACATGCTAGAAAGCATGATTGATCATCCTACACCAACAAGGGCTGAAGTATCTGATATAGCAATTGCAGTTCGTGAAGGAGCTGATGCTGTCATGCTTTCTGGAGAAACTGCTCATGGAAAGTGAGTAAGCTCAAGCCTTCATTTTAAATTCTTTAAAAACTTAGCAATTTATTACTAACTGATTGCACTTTGCTTATAAACTGGAATAAGTTACTAATGTGATAACTTCCGATTCTTAAGTACCTTATTTCTATATGTACTGTTTGATCTTAGTGACAATCAAATTGCTCACTGGAAGTCATACTTCTATGCCTCCTTTAGTATAATTTATCTAGTTCTTGAACCGTTTGGTCTTAGTGGCAATCAAATTGTTCAGTGGAAGTCATACTTCTTTAGTGTAATGTATCTAGTTCCTGTAGCCAGGCCAGTTGCCCTTGCCTTGAAGATCATTGGTGAGGATCAGAAATAACTTTGGATTTTCTGTCCATGAATCATCATTCAATTATTATTTACAATGATTGGCCTAGTTGTGATGGGGATGAAAACATCTATTTTCATTTAGTTTGGTCATTGAACTTGGGTTTACATGCATAATCTACTCCAGCATCTCTCATTTTACTGTGGAAACCTTTTTTTTTTTTTTCCAAGCAAGAGCTGGTTTTGTTTTTACTTGTACTGACCATTTGTCTTTCTTCCCAAAGATACCCGTTGAAAGCTGTTAAAGTAATGCATACCGTGGCATTGAGGACAGAGGCAAGTTTGCCTGCAAACACAACTCCCCCGTCTCAGGATGCACACAAGGTAAGTTCTAGCTTGACTCGGAACAGTTTTTTGTGAATAAAAAAGTTTGGAATTTCAAAAAATGTAAATGCATTTTGAGGTGTTTGATGCTGCTAGTGTTCTGCAACCTGATCCCCCTTTTTGTGGGTTTATTCCTTGCAGAGCCATATGGGCGATATGTTTGCCTTCCACGCTACAATCATGGCAAACACTCTTAATACGCCCATCATTGTTTTTACAAGAACTGGATCCATGGCAGTGCAGTTGAGTCATTACCGCCCTTCCTCGACAATTTTTGCCTTCACAAATGAGTAAGTCATATGCTGTATTTGATTCATGACAGTCCTTTCCTTCTCTCGCTTTCACTTCTATCGCTCGAAGTTCATGCCTTTTTTTTCCGCAGCGAAAGGATGAAGCAGAGACTGGTACTTTACCAGGGAGTCATGCCAATTTATATGGAGTTCTCAAATGATGCAGACGAGACCTTCTCTCGCGCACACAGGCTCCTAGTGGTTAGTGAACATTCCTGATCGTCTTGTTCACCCTTAAATCAATTTCTTTCCCCACAACCTTATTCCAACTTCTCCTCCTAACAGGACAAGGGCCTGTTGGTCGAAGGACAGCACGTGACTCTCGTCCAGAGCGGAGCTCAACCGATTTGGCGCGAGGAGTCAACGCACCACATCCAAGTTCGTGAGGTTCAGAGCTGATTTTTATGCACCGTATGGAGTCTCATATTCCAGATTGTTTTCTTAACTGAAGTAGGTTGTTGTGAACTAGCTGCACTTTATATACTTACGTGAACATTCGTTTATCGATACAAGCATTAACATTTCCATAGCACGGAAGGCCAAAGATCTTAATGGAATTCTTTTTTCTCTCTCGAGTTCTGATTGTTTGTTATAATATCCTCTTAACTTGGACAAATAAAACGGCACCTGCCTGAAGTTTCTGCATCGACTTCGATCTTCGCAGCTCTGGCATTGTTCATGTTTATCGTCCTTGTCCTTTCTCGCACTCTTCTGCTAGTAACTGAAGAAGATAGTACTCTGTAGGTAATCATACAGTTCATTTCCAGGCTTAGATTTAGAATGAGGGTAGCTGAAAAAAGTTACAGCTGCCCTCATTGAAAACCTCCCTCATTTCCCAATCCCTAGCTTTACATAAGATCAGCACATTCCCCTCTTTCTACAAAAGCAACAGAAACCCATTCCACTCTCTATTTATTCATATGTATATTGCTTGCTAAAATGCTTCAACTTGTTAACACAGACCAAGTTACATAGCTTTAGACTCCACACTTGTGGTTATCATCATCACTATACTCATCATCATCGTCATCTTCGTCTTCCTCCGCCGAGTTGCTGTTGTTCTTCCCTTCGAGCTTGATGTTCTTGTACCACTTGGCACAAGCAATGTACACAACCAAGTCGAGGGACGTCAGGGCAGCCAGCAGGAAGTAGAACCTGTCCAGGTGACCTCTGTTCAGATTCGACGGGATCCACCCTGGCATGTGATCCACGGTCGAGATCTTCATCACCATCGTCACCAGCAGGCTGCTCACGTAGTTCCCGAGCGAGATCGAGGTCATGCACAGCGCGCTGCCGAAGCTCTTCAGCCCGTCGGGTGCCTGAGCATTGAAGAACTCCAACTGCCCGACGTACATGAACACCTCGGAGGCTCCTATCAGCGCATACTGCGGTATCTGCCACATTATGCTCAAGGAGCTCGACCCTTCACAGTGCGTGCAATCCTTCCGTGCGTGCTCGAGCCTGTAGCACTCCACGGTCCCTGCGCAGACCATCGCGAGTACGGCGATCACGAGCCCGACCCCCATCCTCTGCAGCTCGGTGAGCCCCTTGGCGTCCGTTCCTTTGATCCTCGCGACCAGAGGGTCCAGTACCCGCCTGTACAGGAAGATGAAGAGGGCGACGCTGAGGATGTCGAAGCTCGACATGCTGGCTGGTGGGATCTTGAAGTTGGATATGGTCGTGTTCATCGCAGCGCCTTGCTCGACGAACAGAGACGCCATCTGCGTGAAGACGACGGAGTAGATGATGGTGCAGAGCCAGATTGGGAGCAGCCTCAGTATGCATTTCACTTCCTCTACTTGTGATACAGGGCACAGCCTCCACGGGTTGCGGAACCCTCTCTTCTGATCATCCATGTCTCTTGATGTAATGTAAGCCGCTCTGTCCAGAAACCTGATTCAAATTCAAACACCCAACACAATTGTAAGATTTCCCCTGAACTCAGAATTTACAATCCGATAAGAAACCAAGCTAATGAGAATTATGCTTTACTTGAATCCATGTGTGTGCAGGATCTTCCTCCCATTCCCATTCCCATTCCCACTGCCAGAGCCGTCTTTCGCATCGACATCATACAACCCGCCATCGCCATCTCCTCCCAGCGAAAACTTGCACTTCTTTATGGACGCCACAATCACCTGACAGAACCGCGACAGTGGGTTCCCCGTGGGCTTGAAGTGTCGATACCTGCTCGAACCCGCGAGGAACAGGGCCAGGGCAGCGAAGGCAGAGCCAGCAGACGCCCAGAACCCGAGCGCCCACACGCCTTCGTCCTCGAAGTAACCCAAGATGGTGTTGGAGAAGAGGGAGCCCAGGTTCAGGGCCAGGTAGAAGTAGCTGAAGAAGGCGACTTTCGAGTGTCCTTCGAAGGGGTCTTCCTCGTCGAACTGATCTGCTCCGAATGTGGCAATGTTGGGCTGGTAGCCTCCATTTCCGAGGGCAATGAGGTAGATCGAGAGGTAGAAGAGCCCTACTTCCACGTTGGTATGGACTCCACATGGCGTTTCGGCGCTCCCACAGCCTTTTGGGCGTAGCAGGAAGAGGTAGGATGACAGTGACAGCAACACCAAACCCTGGTTTGTGGAAACACAGAGCTGTTGAGATTTTTGCACCAAACACAAAAATCAAATTGGGTCGAGATGATCATTTTTTTTTAGTCAAAAGGATTTTTTTACCATGACGAAGATGCCTTGAAAAATGGCACAAGTCTTGTATCTTCCCCAGTAGGAGTCGCTGAGGAAAGCACCAACGAGGGAGAATATGTACACGGTTCCAGTCCATTTGCTGACATTGTTAGCAGCTTCAGCGTTGTCCTGCTGCAGAACTCTGGTAAGAAATAGCACCAAGTTCACCCCAACTCCGAAGAAGGCCAAGGTAGCCAGCCCTTGATTCACTGCAGGGACAAAGTGTTCGGTTTCGGATTAGGAAAAATTTACTTGGAAGTCATTGAATCGGATTGAGGAGATACAATAGAAATGTCACGAGAACTTGCATCTCGACTCATTTAATGTCTTACACATCGTTAAGGATGCCTCATAAATTTTCAAACAAAAAACCTCCGTATTTGATGAAAATCAGGTTTCCACCGCACTTTTATATTTGAACAATTATTTGTGTTTTGTGATATTTTTGGAATTGTCGAAATATTTGAATATTTTTAGACGGTTTTTGGTGCTATTTGATATTTTTGAAATAATAATTAATTATGGATAGATTAAGAAATTTATCGAATTATAGATTCGGTAATTGGAATCTAAATTCATTTAAACAAATACAGAAAAATAATTATCTCTCAAAACCTAGCTCTCTTTCTCCATCTCCCCCACCTCTGCCGAAACCCCTTTCTTCTACCCAATGATACCTCTTAATCCCCCCCTAATCCATCTCCAATTCCTTATAAATTGCTGATCACAATCCTATTCTCAATCATCTAACTCTATCAGGGATGCCCTAGATCCGTGTTGCCATCAGTGTCCCAATAAAAGTCGGTTTAGCAAGTTAATAATCGAGACACCCGTTTCTCAAAGAGTTAACGTTGCCACTTAACAGTTGACTCTTTAATCTCTCCATAAGACGATCTTAGAGTAATGATCAATAGTATGCTACATGTTAAACCCGTTCGATATTTTCTCATGTTCTGAACCGGATTGAAGTTAGAGAAAGTGATACATAGGACAGAGAATTCGATGGGGGAAAGGACACCTATTCATTACCCACTTACACAAATGGCATAATTTAACACAAACTTTCCCAAGTCATGTGGTGCCTATGTACACTACTTCTATCTAAGGCAACTTCACTTTGATGCCAAGCCCTAACTAGCTAGCCAGCCAGCCTCTCTCTTGTGCATGTATCCATCCATCTATATATTTCTCGAAGTGGCATTCATTAAGGAACAAAGAAACTCACGCCAACCCCACAACCAGAAAAAAAATTTGCACACACCTAGGAATGCTGAGAGTGGACGATGGGAATTGCTTGATTGGGTTGCTAATTGCCTCTTTTTTCAATAATAAAGTTAGTTTGGTCGAAATGGATTTGTGGGCCTCAAAAAAAAAAAAAAAAAATCGTGAGTGCACTTACTTTAAGTGTTTAAACAAACCAAACAAAAATGAATAAGATTTTATTTTTTTGGCATTAACAATCTCTAATAAGTTCGATCGTTTGTGCGTAAAACTGTATCCAACCAAATTTTATACATAATTCGAGTAATATAACAAGTTGATACGATACAATTTCAGAAACATCGAGAGGCATTTTTCGGTTGTTGAGAAAGGATGGGAGGTTTTTATTTATTTATTTTATGTTTTAGGTGATAGTGGTATGTTTCCAAATATTGAGAAATTCTGGTAGAAATACCACGTGGAAGGAAGGTACTCTTTTTCCTCCATTTCGTCTCACCAACGCCTATCTCACTCACTAATCGCCCGGCCAGTCTTCCGGCCAGAATACGGGAAAACGACCTTTAGATTTTTTTTCCATCCCTAGTTTCGAGAAATAAGTTCGGCCACCGGCGCCGGAGTCGGCTGCCGACATCTTCTGCATGTTGTGAATATGGAATCCAGCCATGCATGCAGCTTACAATGAATTTTTAATTCATAAATATTTTTACAGAAATACAGATGGTTGAGGTAAATAAGGTGGGAATAGTTAGTCCCTTTACTGTTTTTTTTTTTTTTTTTGCAACAGACTTTACGCGGTAATTAAATACAACTGTTTGTCGTTATTCGACCCGTAATAATTGTTTTACCAGAGGAAGAAACGTTCTATTCAATTATTATATATCTATCAACAAACTCCCCCAAATGTGCATGGCGTGTACCGTCAAAAAAATATTTACCTAAAAAATAATAATGAAAAATATTAAGGAAAAGAAGAAGAAGAAAGGTAGGTTTTGTGCAAAAGAAAACGGTAAGAGAGAGAGAGTAAAAAAAAAAGGATGAGGAGAATACATACGAAGGATGATGATTCCGGCAGTCCACTGCCCCGATTTGGATTTGAGCGCCGGCCTCCCTTTCCAATCCACCGTTCCGTCCATCGTAATCGTACTACCGGTGTCGTCGTTCCCACATCCATAGTCTCGGTCGAACTCCTGATCCTCCACGTCCTTCACCTTCTTTCCCTACGCACACATTTCACACACGCTACTTCAATACGTTTTTTTTTTCTTCTTCTTCTTCTTGATATGACATCGACCAAACTTAAAGAATTCGATAACAAATGAAGAAGGACGAACCTCGTGATTAATAGTACAAAGCTCCCTCATACAATTGGCCATTTTTTTTTTTGTAGCTAGGCTGGGAGGATTCTGTAAGAGAGTATCTAGAGAGTGTAAATTTTTGGGATCTTCAAGACAGTACTGTTGGAAATATGTTTAGAGAGAGAGAGAGAGAGAGCAGTAGATGGAGCAGTCTCTTCTCTTCTCTCTAATGTGAGAATGGGAATTCGGATTGTGAGTTGAAGAGATAAATGGGCACATTTGGTTGGTATTTATAGAGAGAGAGAGAGAGAGAGAGAGGAGTTTTGTTGCTGATTTTGACGGCCCATATAATCCATGTGGCTTCCTCCTTTTTACCCAACCCATCGTTGAAAAATAAATATATTAGTGAAAAAATAAATATATCAGTGAAAAATAAACAGATTCAAAAAACGTAATTTCGAGCTAGCAGTGTAAAAAAAAATATAAGAGAAGATCTTGGTCTAGTGTGTGAAGCTAACTAGCTAAGAGAGCATGGTCAGAAGGCATAGGCTCATTTTCCTCCACGCATGGGGAGAAGGAATAATATCAACGATTAGGTGAAAGACTAGTTATGATTTAACAAGTCGTTGGATGATGAAATGTTAGGGTCAATATATCCCTGGTTAATTATCATAAAATATCACTCACAATATGATCGTTTTAACAACATGGAGCCTTCATCCAACACTCATCAGATGCATGCATGCGGCAGAGAGTTGAAACCTAGCTAGTTCTATACTTCTGTTATCTAATAATGCATGTAAGTCAAAAGATCGGTCATATGAAACTCTTAAAAAAAAACGTTCAATTTCAACTTGACAATCAAAATGAGCATATAATGTAACATCCCTCGATATTAACATTATGGTAATGGGAATTAAAAATCACTACTCGAACCCCGAGATTTTTACTTATTTAGGAGAGGAGTTAAATTAACTTCTACCAAATGCAACCAATATTAATTCAATGAGAATAATTGTTTATAGATTTTGTTGTTCTCTATGTTAATTTCTTCCCCCTAGCTAGCTAATTGCTTGTTTGGAAAGTGGTCTTCCTTAATTCAAGAAATTAAGAGAGGATGGCAAGAGGAAGCTGGCCGTCTCCTTCCAGAATTTAAGTTGCTAAACAGCTGCCGATGAGTAAGTGTTGAGTGCATGGTGGGCTTTACTTAATTCTTTCATATTTTATTATAATTATTTATAAAAAAAAAAATATTTTCCCCCCTCTTTTGAGATTATATTTACTTGGACAACAATGTACACACCATCAACTTGGATTTGCCATAATTGTGAGATTATGTGGTGGCTACAAAACCCATCTGGCCCCCCTCTCCTCCTTTCCCCCAATTTCCAAAATTTCACCACCTTTTTTTTTTTACTTTATAAAATCAAGTAGTCATCACTTTGCAAATTGTCACTTTCACAACATTTATTATACACTTTCACTCTCATAATTCATTAATGCCTAGCTAGTTGGGGTAAGTGTAAAACATAATAAGGTTTAATTTCTTGGATGTGTAAAACACAATTAATTAATTGCTACAACAAAGCTCAACATGAAGGATTTATGAACTGGGATTTCGAAAACCAAACGCAAATGTAGAGTGGCTATATCGAGTTAGGGACCTCGAACGAGAAATTGGTTGTGTTTGGATTTTCGTAAATTTTGACATCGCATGATGCTCCCTGGAATAAGGTTTGAAAGGACGTTTACAAAGTTTAAGGACAGATTTACCACGAACAATACAAGCATAACCCATATCAAGTATACTGAGCTGATCAAAATAACAAACCGTGATATTCATCTCGTGGATCTCTACATTACTTTTTAATGTCCATTTTTTTAATGTATTCTAAAATCGAAGACAGTAGGTATATGAGATAAACATTAGCTAGGATGATGAAGAATAGAGTCATGGATATATTTCCTAAGATCTTGCATTATGTCGATGGAGTTTATCACGTACAAGAAGCATTTTAGCATAATAATGGGGAAATATTAATCAATTCAAGCCTAGTAATTTGACTTTTTCTTGTTAAAGATCCCAAAGAACACCATCTTTGTCTTGGCTATTGAGTCTTGACGTGAGTTAGACATCAATGACAGTGATTTCAGTTCCTCTGCCGGAAAACTTTATAATATTTCTACACAACAAGTTGCATGTGTTTTTTTTGCATCACTAACATTCATTGCAATTTGCAAACATACATCGCTGATTATACAAAATAGTAAACAACTTGTTACAAATGAGCTTCTCTATCTTAATAGAGAAGATTATTTGAAACCCTGATTTCAGGTCAAAATACGAGGCGATAAATGATCAGAATCGCACCTTCATGATGTTTGGAGGACAAATTTGGATTGTAATCTAGCTTAGCATGACAATTTGGATTGTGGGTTTTTTTTTGGGCTGGAAATTAAAATTGGTGGTCAATGGAGAAACTAAACATTTCTATACTTTTATTGACCAGACAATCCAAAAATTGAAGGATGGTGATTCCAACTGTGCTTATCCTGGATTATGATACTTACACTTGTCAGATGATACAAATTATAACTATATGATGTATGTAATTTATTGTTTTACCTTAGGATGAAATTGATCTTTAGAATAATGTTGATGTATTTGATGACGGGGAAAGTCATATGTTTGAATCACGATATCGAAGTATACGCTAACCTTATCGTACGGCAAGTGACCAGTCTCTCTAATTAGACCACAAATTAACAATACTTTGAGTCTTTGAGGTGTGATACTATAACATAACCTCTTTAATGATTGAACTTCCGCTCCTAATTCTCTGAACTCAAATCACGAGGTCGAGTTGATGGGAAGATAGTAACCGACAATTCTGATTCGTCGAAACATATCAAAGTATATTTAATAAGTGTGAATGCATACGTGTATTATTATACATAGCTACTCTTGTCGTATATGAACCCAAAGTTTTTATTTACTTTTCATGTTTTGTGGTTAAATTTAATTTGGAAATGATCAAAGAGTCCCCACATCTCACCGACCGGCTACAAATTGAGAGATGTCTTTCCTTTTCCAAACCCTAGCCAAGGACAGCTAATTCAGAGGTCTTGTTTCGCAATTTGCATTGCTTGTCCCCCATCGATCTTTTCACGATAAATTTTGGCCTTTCTTTTATGTTTGTGGTCTAGATCATGTCCAAAATGATGTATGTGGTGCAATAGTTGCACAATGTTGATATAAGATTCTCAAATATCACATCGGTCGTCCAAGAGATTGTTGACGATTGAGAGATTTTTTTTTCGAGATCCTAACTTATACGCTGATGTTAGCAATCAGATTAATCGCAACAGAAAGAAGCATTTCTATAATTTCTTGAAAAAATGAATGTAATTACTTAGAAACAACAAATTTACTAATGACAGAATCACATCTAATGGTTTCCCAAACAACTTTAATTAGTAGTTTAACACTTATCCAACAAGGTATACAGCTGTTATGCACGACCTTCTTCTAGTTCCTTTACATATGATATAAGTAACCTATTATTCAACCATCAATAGAAACTATAATCACTTATTTAAACAAAAAGAAAAAATTACACAGCTAATTTTGTCTTTGCTTTCACATTAGAGCAACGGGGGAGAAGAGGAAGAAGAACCCATTACCGACAAAAAAATTGTTTGCCTAATTTCCTGCCACTTCCAAGTTCGAAATGGTCCTTCGTTTATTTTTTACTTAATTAGTTAATTACCTTTACAGTTTAATGTAAAGTTAATAAACTTTTAGTGGTAAACTTGAGTCTGATTATGAAACGCAATTGTGCGTATATTTTCGATGATCCTTCACTGCTCTTATATATCTGCCATGTGAAAGGTTACTTTCTTAACTTTTGAGCAGATGTAATATTGGAGATGGATAGTGAGATTTTCTTACGCAAGCAAGCATAATGCTTTCTCTCCAGTCCAGCTGGTTCCATTTTGGGTTATTGTGGAGGTGCAACAAGAAGCCAAATCCACATCACTTGGGCCTCATACGGGCCCGAAAAGCGAATACAAGTTAGAAGTGTTCAAATGGTTATCATGGTAATTAACAAATAAAATAAGACTAAATTCTATTAACTATAGAATATTGTTGGGCATGTGACTCGGACCTAGCTGTGCAAGGCAGGACACGCCGACAGAAGGCGCGCGCGAGGGTCTAAGGCGCGCATGAAGGCTTAAGGGCGCGCCACTGCAAGTGCGCCAGCGCAGAGAACCAACGCGCGAAGACCCGGAGTTCCTCACAAGCCGCGCGAGAGTGGAAAGTATCAAGGCGCGGAGGCTCAGGCGCGTTGTAAGCCACGAAGCCATAGGGAGTTCCCCTCACACTTCCCGAGGGTCAGCCGCGTGGGGATCAGTGACACAGTCGTAGGTACACCCCTGACATGTCCTAGGTAGGGGGATGGCCTAAATCCCCGACATGTCAGTGGTCACATCAGAGTCAAGGTCCCATCATGTAATCCACCCGCTCACCCACCACCATGTAGCCTATAAATATGGCATTTACTCCGGTGGGTGGAGGGGATCGCATTTTAGCCACTCTCTCTCTATAAACATCAACTTCTCTCTCTAAACGGGAATTCTCTCAAGCTCACCCCCAAAGTTCCCGATTTTCCTCTAGCTTACTCTTCTTGACCCACATCTCCCCTGAACCTCACTCCTACACTCAGTTAGGTTCAAACAATTGGCGCCCACCGTGGGGCCAAGAAGAAACGCTGAAGAAAACCCACCAATGGCAGAGCGCAACCACGACCAACCTGACCAAGCGACGCCAATCAAGGCAATGACCGACCCAAGGGCGTTCGCGGAAGACAGTAACCTCAATGCGGTGCTCATCGAAGAGGAGGAGCCCGAGCTGACAGCCAAAGAAATGAGGGAGCTGTTGACGAAGCAAAACAACGTCATAGCCGACATGCAGAAACAAATGAGCCAAGTCATCGCGCTCATGTTGAGCAGGGAGGGCGCGCCAACGATAGACGCGACAGAGGTCGCGCCTCAACAAGCCTTGGGAGAAGCGTCGGGGACAGCCCAACTACCCCAACACGCGCCAACGGAACTCCCCGCGTGCGAAACGCAGGGAGTCGAGCTACCAGGGCGGGCGGACCTCAGCTTTTTAGAGCAACACTTATCTCCGCAATATCGACCCAACCCGCCTAAAAGGGTCCTCCACCAGCCACTGAGCGCGCAAATAATGGCGGAGAACCTAAGCGGAGCGCCACCCACCCTCCCAACATACAACGGCACGACCGACCCAGAAGACCACGTGAGCACCTTCTGCTTGCGCA